TTATTTTCCTTTCCCTTTCTTTTCATTTTCTCTTTCCTTTTCTTTTCTCCCCCTTTCTCTCAAACCACACATAGCCATAATCTATCATTCGTGCAAATATGAGAGCACGACAACAAGTATATTAAAAGCCGCCATTAAACATCTAACAAGCTTTCTTTTAATGGGCATATACACAATACCAAGGCATATTAATGATAAGCTTTATAGCTCTGATACCAATGTAAAAAATAGAGAATGTTCATCAAATTGGAAATTGCGGAACTAGAATATTACCAATTCGAAGCATTCCATGATCTTTTTTGCCGCTACTAGATTCACACGATTATCAAAATTTTCTGTCGAACTCCCGATTATTGTGACAAGCTGAAAGTATAGTTCACAGCTCAAGTGTCTCTCTCTCTCTTAAATCTCAAGTTTTGGCCATGACTATGATATTGTGTTTTTCATCATTGCGTTTTTTCTCTCTTAGTAAGAGGATGGCTGTGGAGGCTTATGTTTATAAACTTTTTAGGCATGCTAGTTTTTGGTAACTTTTGGCTTTTATAATAAAATTTTAATAAAAGTTGCATGGGTAGAATAATAATTGTTTGGTCAAACCTAACTTATTTAAATTAGCTTATATGCTAGTTTTTCAAAAGTTGAAGGGCATCAGCATTTTCAAATGTGACTTAAAAAGCTAGCTTATTTGGGTTGTTACCAAACACGTAAATATGAAAAAGTTAGCTTAAAAGCTACATTAAAAAAAAAGCTCTCCCAAAATACCATCTAATTCGTTAGGTGTAGGCGACAGTCTTATAAAAAAACTCTGGATGTGGGTAGTTTTCTAAACCAAGGAGTAGTTCCATCAACTGCCAATAAGTGGGGTTATGCCCATTGTGGGCATAACTGCTCCTCCCGTTTCCTATAATTACAAACACAATAAATATATCACATTTTTGGGCTTTTTTATTCAACATTTAACATTTTTTATGATATTTTTCTAATAACTTAGGGGGTCAATGCTATTTTACAAATTCGGATGCGATCTTGTTGATTTATAAAGTTCAGGAAGGGTTATAAGCAGAACATCTTAGGGCTCGTTTGGATAATGGAAGTATTGGAAGTAAGAAGTAGGTTATGGAAGTAACTTCCAAAACTATGAAATAGAAAATAGCAGAAATAGTAATTTTTTAATTTGTTTTATATATTTTTAGAAGTAATGGAAGTAGAATTCTTCTTCTTCATTTACTTTTTTGTTTGAATAATATTTGGAAACATTACTAGGAAGTAATTAATACATGTTGTTTCCATTTTATTCTTGTTTGGATTGTCATTGAAAAAGAAGTAGATTTGTTGTTAGGTTCAAATTGAGCGTTCCTATTGAAACTGAATTCTCTTTAATTTTGCTTTTAGTCTAAAAATAGTATCAATATAATTTTGCTTCTGAGAATAACAAATTACCAGTGCATAACCTAGGAAAATGTTGATCGTAGTCTAATTGAGTCTTGTTACCTCTCACTCGGAGTACTTCATTTATTTGCTCATTCTCAATTTGTTAAACATGCTAGTGTAACGCCGCTTCAAGAGTCAGTTTATTTATTTTTCGACAAATTATTTTGATCATAAATAGTACATACACTCATGAATACTCGATCCAACAACATCCTTACATTAAAAATTATAACATCAGCCGATCATCAAATAATTCTGGTGAAAAGAAAGAATTCAGACCTGAACTTTCTTCCTGAACTTTCTTATAGCCCGAGGTTTTAAGAGTAACAAGAGAATGAAGATGTCAACATAATAGGCAAGCTCGAGCATATGCAGGCTTCACCGTGTTTAAGAGTAACAAGAGAATGAAGATGTCAACATAATAGGCAAGCTCGAGCATATGCAGGCTTCACCGTGTGTGATCGTTGTTTCATCAGGCCACTATCAACATAATAGGCAAGCTCGAGCATATGCAGGCTTCACCGTGTGTGATCGTTGTTTCATCAGGCCACTATCATCTTTGAAAGGGCATGCCAGAAATCCTAGGAGTTTCGAACATCAAAACCCAAAGTAGAACTGGAATATGTGAAACACCAAAATTTCAAACTATAAATCGTTGCTGAATTGGAGGTTTTGTTGAATTGGAGCTTCAGATCAACTTGAACTCGCCCTTAATGTCCTTCATCATGCTTCCATGGATACCAAGATGCTTTTCGATCACCTTTACATGTTCCTTAAAAGACAGTGCTGACAGCACATTAGCATCTAATCTAAACCAGAGACTCCACAAAGAGCTTCATGTTCCTCACATATTCTTTGCTATCAGGAAACTTCTTAGGCTTAAACATCTTCCAAAGCCTAGGGGGATGCCGAGGTCTAACTTCTCTCTCCCTAACAACCCCACCAAATATTTTCTCGCACTTCGGATAAGGCTTCACATACAAGTTAAAGAAGTTTACCCTGCTAAGCCTCACAAAATGCTTGAACTGCACGTCGAAACTGAGCCCACCTATCGATTTTAGATGCTCGATGACATTGCAACGTGGAACTATATGTTTGTCCAAACTCACACCCAAGTACTCTGGAAACTCCAACAAATGTTCGATTATAAAACCCATGTTCTGTATCAAAAAAACCAATCTTCTTCTCGATGTCATCGAGCTCATATAAAATGCATCTACACGAAAAATACATATAAACTTAAGAGAAACAGAGAACAAAAATGGTGAAACCATGAAAATAATTTTATAACTCGGTATGATTGTCAGTAAATGGAACATCTGCAAGCAAGATAAATAACGAGACACAAGCACCAACGTAAACAAGTTGCAATTACTAGAGAAGCAAAAAAGATATAATTATGCAGAAGTAATTGCAAAACAGTCATTTCATTCACAAATTTCACCATGGATATACTGCAAATGCAAGGAAATATGTCCATTGACAAAAGTTCCAACTCAACAAGACTATTCAGTTGTTGCAAAATATAACATCTGGATCACTTGAGCAATAGTTTCCCAAGAATCATAGTCTTATTGTAAGCTCAATTCATATCAAAGTCCAACACACATAATTGACACTATAATCATTAAGTTTAAAATAAAATAATAAAGTGCAATCTCTAAGAAGACTATCCATACTAGAAAAATAGCTTAAACTGAGAACCATTTATTAAGGGGTGCTATCCATGTTTCTGGAACTAGTAGTTCCTCTCTGAGCGTTGTCCAAAGTTGATCGCCTACCTATCCTCTCCAACACGTTAAGAATCATCTTTCTCTGTATTGGTTCTGATAATATCATAAAAGCCTTCGATTCAACTTCATTCTTGTAATATTCATTGAGAATCAGTTCAAGATTGTCTATAGAAATATATTAAAAACCAAAAACCTTATCAGCAAGAACCTCAACCCAAGTTCGCTCCTTCAAACCAACATTGGCAGTGACTACCTTTCCCATTTCCTCCATAAGTTTCTCACCAATAATTATATGGGAGTCCTCCCTTTTCTTCTTCTTTACTAGACGAGACGATTTATCACTTACAGCTCATGGCTTGATAGAAATGCTCGAAAGGTCCACTCCGTTGAATTGTGATACACGAACTCCATCAATACCAGGAATATCTACAAGATCATCTTCGTCGATATTGATAGTTGGAATCTCTTTATCAATGTCAGGGTCATAACTTGTCTCTCTGAATTCTCCAGTAGCATGATCCTTCCCACAAATAATGTGAAGCTCTTCATATCTTAGAATTGGACAATTCAAATAAGGCTTGTATTTTGGATGTCTCTGTATATAAGAAAAATAGAGATTTTTAATGTGATATATCAAAAAGAAAAGTTTGAATTAACTTGGTGGACAAAATTAAGAAATTAATATACCTTGATAAGCTCAACATATGTCGTGGTATCAAGTGTAATCATCTTACTCTCTTCACCTCATCCGGCTCCACTAAGTTTTTTTTTGCTTCACAAATAAGTTTCCACTTATCTTTGAGGGTTCATAAGTGGTTCTCGACATTGTATGTAGTATAATTTTTTCCAAAGATAGAATTCACATGCTCAACATCCTTTTTAAAAGCTGGGGCTTTAAATGTCTTATACACTTTATAACCATTTTTCGCAAGTTCCACCAAGCAAGAAATTAATGCCTCAATATGTAGAGGTTTCCATTTTTTTTGTTACTAGTTCCTTTTTTCCCTCCTGTCAGAGTTTCTTTGTTCTTGGTTGACTTTAGTTTCTTCCCTTCATTCGTATGTTTTCCATCTTTTGAAGGAGAATTAACCTCAAAGACTTGAAATTGAATTTTGTGAAGCATTATTCTGGGAGCTTTGTGATCGTATGATTTGTTGGCTCAAAAAGACTTGAAATTGAATTTTGTGAAGCATTATTCTGGGAGCTTTGTGATCGTATGATTTGTTGGCTCAAATTTATGGGTGGGAACCCAATAGGAGTTCTTATTCTGGGAGCTTTGTGATCGTATGATTTGTTGGCTCAAATTTATGGGTGGGAACCCAATAGGAGTTCTACCAACATTAGCATTCATGAATTGTTGATTACGTGAATCTCCAAAATGATAAAAAAAACATAGGGGTTTCCAAGAGCGTGTACCCCTTGAGAATAGAGTAATGTGGCGATTGTTGATCTAGTATTGAAGTGACTTGAAAGTATCCAGTACTGTTACCCCCATATGCACACATTTCTATATTCTCCACCGTCCTGTGATATTGTAAATATTCATAGAGGCAACATGAATAAAATTTACATTATGGCAATTAGAAAGCAAAACTATAAAATTAGACGTACATATATTGAAGCTCATCATAAAATAGAATGTCAAAAAAGAAATATCAAAGATACACAAAATTTGGTTTCCAGTAAGCTTGATAATAAGGAAAAAAACAAACTTGTTCACTTAATGATCTAGCATATATTGGTGGTATCAATTAAAACAATACAAAACACAAATACTAATCACCTAATCTAATTTCCACCTCATTACCTTCCTTATATCGAGCGCAATATTCTATCCACATAGACTTTGCTATTTCATCTCTTTTCTTTAACCAAGTTGCTTGTGCTTCTTTCTGTTCCCTTTTGCTTAAATTGAGTATGCTAACCTCAGATTCTTCAATAACAAATTCACTCTCGCTTTCATCAAAAACTACATCTTCTATAATGTAACGATCATCTAGACCCACTATCATTATATGTAATGACCGTAAATTTTCGATACTAGTTAAAATAATTTTTTTAGTATTTTAAAATATTTATTTATTATTTTAAAAGAGTATTTGTATTTTCCTATATTTTTAAGAATTTTCTACAATTTAGAAGTCTAATTTTATATTTATTTAAATGATTTTAATATTTATAAATTAACTTAGTGCAGTAAAAATTTTTGGAATTAATCTGTTGTGTTATCGATACTATTACGTATCATTTTAAATAATATGTTGTATTATTTTTACTATTACGTATTATTTTGTATAATACGTTGTATTATTATTACGTATTATTTCGTATAATTTGTTGTATTATTACTATTATTGTATATTATCTATTATATTAGTATAATTGGTATATTTTATTGTATAGATAATTTTCCCATAATTATTTGATTTTAAATGTAAGTAATTATATTTTTTATTAATTATTCTCGTTTAATTATATAATTTATTATATTATTTTTACTATTGCATATTATCAGTTATATTAGTATAACTGGTACGTTTTATTGTGTAGATAATTCTCTCATAATTATTTGATTTTAAATATAAGTAATTATTATTTTTAATTATTCTTGTTTAATTATACAATTTGTTGTATTATTACTACTATTGCATATTATCCGTCGTATTAGTATAACTGGGATTTAATGTGTAGATAATTTTCACATAATTATTTAATTTATTTAGTAATTAATATTATTTTTAATTATTTTTTAAAACCTTAATTCCTTATATATATATATATATATATATATATATATATATATATATATATATATATATA